GGTGATGAAGGTATATTGCTGCATAAGTAAGGGAAGTTGACGATTGAAAAGTTAAAGTCATCACGTTTATCATAAAGCTTGGTTGTTAGATTACCATTAACGTCTTTTTCAAGTAAAATATCCAAATATGAAACAGATGTGTCAGTCTCTGTGGTATCTTTTATTTCAAGTTCACTAGTATATATCGTATCGACATAAGAATGGAAATAGCCATTGTTAATTGACAATACGTCGTCGATATATCTAAATGTCGAGTTGAAGGCCACAGCAAGTGTTTTCTTCTTTTCACGTACAAGATTTTGGACAAATTCTGCTTCATATGAATACAAAAAAGGTCTGCTAACAATAATATGTAAGGATTTTTAATGTTGTTTTTATGTACAGTAGAATTATGGTAATTCAAATTCAATTTGATCGTTGGAAATATTAAACATATTTAATAGTGATTTTGAAGAATTTCCTCCTTAGAAAGGTATGGATAACACTTGCAGAATTAAATCCCAGTTCCTCTAAAATACAATTAAAATAATGAGCCTTACATGTACAAACAAAGACAATATTGTGACCTGCTTTCTCGGGTCGTGTTTTGTCTGATATGTATGATACCACTTGTTAGGTCATTGCTTTTATACTACATTGGACTACGGAGTACTCCTTATAACTGATCAATACTAAGGGCTCACGACGGGAGTGACCGGTCGACATGGGATCCTACGACCCTGATCCCAACTCTAGTGTTTCCAGGGCTCTGTGATTTTGCCCTGTTCACGATTCGTTTTGTGTATTGTATTTATGAGAATAATAACATTTTACAAATAATAGTAAAAATGAGACTTGCAGACAAAATGCATTTTTGTTACAGTCTATCCTTTTATCACTTCCAGTCTACTAAAACATGAAGGATAAATGGTGCGCATTTTGCTATTTAATTGTCTAAAATTCTTCAATACTTCTACATCTCTTCATCCATTCTAACAAAGTGTCGAATTCTTCCTCTTCGCATTTAGCCCATCGTCTGGCATTCATTGACAAAATTCAAAATAGAAATGAGTTTTTTGGTATCGTTTGAAAGATCTGGGCTTCCTGAGTTTTGGATCTTTCAAAATTATTACCTTCTGGTCGCCACTTTCAACTATATTTACATCATCAGTAGTGATGCGCTTAACAGGACTATAGTTGAAATAAGAACAAGAATACTTAGGAGGATTATATTTTAGATACTCAATATCTAGGCACTGCAGAGTCCGCTTATCATTGTAAAGTTTAGATGCAACAGTTCAGGAATAAATTTATCGACTTCAACATAAAATATGGTAAATTGCAAGAATGATTTTTTTGTGATTAAGAATATTACTTATGTTAACAGCATAAATCTTTTGGTTAGAAAATTTAAGCTTGAAGAACCAGCAGCCTGATTCAGAATTTTCCGTATTGTGAATGCCAACATCAAATATCACAAACACTAGTCTGTAGACTGGTTGTGAAGAATCCAATTGTGGACAGTAGGTTAAAATTCTAAATTAAGGGACTTAAAGGGGAAAATCATTGAAACATTTTTTTTTCAGGAAGAGAAATATGACTCGAGATAGCGTCGGGGCTTTTTGTCGATCAATTTTGCTCAAGAACGTTAATATATGTAACATCTTATATTCAATATCTTGAAAAAACTGAATTTTGATCAAATGACTATATTTCTAAAAAGAGCCTTGTAGGAACCAATATGAAGCGTGGTGTCTGTAGATAGGCTTCTTGTATTATTTCATTTAGACCAATAAAAAGGCATATTCTGGGGGAAGATGGGGACTAGGTGGTTAAGGCTCATACTTGAGATTCAGAGAATTAAGAAGCCAAAAAGGGCAACTCAGAGGTCTAACGCTCATAAAAGATAGCAAAAACAAATCTTTGAAATCTTTCTTTGAATTCCGTCATTGTGAAAATGCACCTTCTTTAAGAAAAATAAAGTTACAGATCCTAAAATACATCTTGCTTTATTAGACTTGAATTGCAGATGAATATTTCTGCTTAGTTGTTATATCTACACATGTGTATGATATTAAACTAATGATAGATTTATTCTGAAAATCTAGTTTTGATTAGTTAAAGCAGTCCTTTTCGATATAATTGTACATCCATAACAATTTTATCAATTGACAGAATTTAAATTAAGCTATATCTTTTTCCTTTAACTAAATTCCTCTTTATACTGAATTTGTAAATTTGTTTTGATATTAACTACTAAAAAAATAAAATTTAACAATAGTTCTATTGAAATCTTAATTGCCTGGTTTGATTTAAAACCTCATTTTAATACTATTCGTTTCTTTGTTTTTGTTCCCTTTGAATAAATATACGCATTGTATATCTCAGGGAATAAAATCCGAAAGAAAACATAAAAAAGATCAAAAATATTCTGTCTCTCGTTTAAAGCTTATGTATTTTGCGTAATTTAGTTCAGCAATTCTGGATTTCTTGGAATAAATATACAAACAAAGTGAGTTACATGTTTTGGTAAGGATTTTCAAAAATTTAAATGTAAGTATCTCGCTTTCTTAATTTTTTTTTATCACAATCTCTTGCACAATTATTACAGTGTATTTATATAAACCCTGAACATATTTATACATATCACATGATAAAACATTTATAAATACCTAGAATAAGTACGGCAAACTCTGGAATTTTTACGAGTTTCGGTAAAGTATACCTGGAAACTAGATCTATGTTCATACATAAAGTTACTACCTTGCCAGTCAGCGGAGAGTACAAGACAATTACTGTAATAAGAAGTCATTGTCAAAGTACAATTTTGCTTTTATTTAAAAGAACACTGGATGGTAGACCAAACGGTGAGACTGAACTTTTTTTTAGAGTTATTATACACAGATATGTCATTTGATCAAGAATTTGAGAATTCCTGTCCCCTTTCCTCTCGCTTCTCCTGCCATTCGGCTTTATTCTCATGTGTAGACAGTAGGTTTGTCCTGGATGAAGCCGAGGTAATTATTAGTAATTTTTAATTGTAGACAGTCCAAAGAAAAAAAAATCAATCAAAATTTCCAGTCTCGAGTTGAATCTCATATCGTATGGCATAAAAGAAATAAAAGAAATTCTAGGTTAAAAAAAATTTATAGATATAACTTAACCATAACCATTCTTTTATAAATAGCACGAGCAATCGTGTAGTCGCAAAAATAAAGAAATGAACATTAGATGAGAATTTTTAAAACACTATGAACAATACAATTAATCATCCAAATGCGTAGTTTGTGTTCCTAAACCACAATGTTGTAACAGTGACTGTTGTTTGTGAATTTGATAGGTAATGGTCTTTAATTATGGAATTTAAAGTTAATAATTTTACATTCTTATATAAAATGTGGACTACACAGTAATATTATTGCGACAACTTACATGTAGCTGTATGTAGACCCATCTATCAAACATCATTGACAATGGGTGACGGGTTTTATATTCAAAATGACGGATGATTTCAGATAAATCACAGAAACAGTAAAACTTTCCAAAAAGATTTAATAATAAAAATAATTGTTGACGAATGATCCTTTATAGTTATATTTATAGGATCTCCCATGGTGTGAGGTTGGATAATATGATTTTTATCCAACGTCTATCCCTGAGTCTGGGCCAGGGGATAGAAAACACACAACGAGTTGGATAAAAAATCCTATCCAACTACAAAACAATGGGAGATTCATTTTTCACATATTTCACACATACATGTAGCTATAACATGGTTTATCTGTTTCTTAATACATTTTTATGAATCCACTTCATTTGACTTCATCATTTTTACATAAAAAGCCATTGTGAAGTCACAACTGTTGATATGAAAACAATATCACATGAACTATATCCTCTATATAAAGGAGTAAACATGTTATAAATTTACATTCCAGTTGACTTTTTTTAAGAACAGTAACTCATAATTAATGCATTATCTCTTCGTCAATTTCAAAATCAGAAAAATTTAATTTTTCATCTATTTGTAGTTTACAAAAAAGAAAAAAAAATATGAAGACTGTTTTAAATATGTCGACGTTTTTGTAAAATTCAAAGCTGTTTATTTTTTCAACATAAAACATCTATGGTGTTATATGTATAAAGGTTGGCTGTAGTTTATTTATGTACAAAATCAAAGTGTATAGGGAAATTACTGTCATATTGTAATTTTTTAATTAACTAAGTGGAGGTAATTCAGAACATAAAGTGTAAATTTCGCATTTACCTCCACCAAGTAATTTAAAATTTACATCGCCACTTATTGTATTTCAACAGTGTGTATTTCCTTCCACTAAGCAATATAAAATTTGCCAACTTTCCATAAAAAATTGTTTTTTTTTATTCTAAAACAGTATTTTGGCGGAAATAAAACAATTTACTCACCTATTTGTTATATTTGATTTTGTTTTTTATTTATTTTTATTTTATTTTTAGTAATGAATGCGTGACTCAGGATATAGTCCAATTCAATAACATGTCCAATGTGATGTGATTAATTTCTTTGAATGAATTAACATTTCTCTGTTATCAATTTCTATGTTCATGTTGCCCAGACAATTTCGTTCAAGGCGTCTCATTTTCCTCTTTGCCACGCTCCAATTAGATAACATGCATACCAGGAAATTATTGGTTGACTTTTCACTTTAATGAAGCATATTCTGCAATCAAGGGAGGCACAGGGGAATAATAAGGTGATTCTTTATAATTAAAGACAATATATAAAAGCATTGTGCATATTTGCACCTGTACAGTTTGGAGTTCTGTCAATCATACCGTCAGACCGGTTCTGTAAGTAACCAAAATTAATTCTTTTAGGATATTTGAGGTTTAACATATTTGAAACTTCAAAACGATGAATTTAAAAGAAAATCAAACTCTAAAATTTCCTTTAGTATACTTCCTTATCGTAGCACATGAAAGCTGTATTATATATACATTTACATTTGACATTATTTTTTCTTTACAGAATATCATGTTTTTGTTGTGTTTGAGGGTCCTCGTGTTATCCTACTTTGGTCACGGAGCTATGATTGACAGAACTGATGATAAACACTCGGAACTCAATTCCAATCAACTTAAAACCAACAAAATAAATGGCCATCCTCATCTTGAATGGCTTTTACAAAGAAATAAAGAAAAGCAATTTGGCGGTGACGAGGTTCGTTTGTCATATATAGAGGGACTATTGGATGAACCATTGCTTGAAAGTGGTAAAAAGTCATCTAAACCTAGGTCTTTTGTTGAAGAGTTACTTAGTGAGCCCCTGTTTGAGAATGGACTAGCGAAAGCAGTGATCAAATCTCACCAGAACGCCCAGGAACTTTTAAACATCCCGGTGTCTCCTTCATTAACACTGATGAAGTCTACCCACAAATTACCGGATATTTTCTATCCACCGCCAACGGATCAGTTTTTAAAGAGCGAACAGGATCGGGATGATTTTCTTGACTTGGTTGTTGAGGGTCTAGAATTTGTCAAGCAGACAGAAGACAAAAGAGAGAAAACTGAAAATAAATCTGATAGAACTTCACATGATGATGATGATGATAGCATCACGTTTGAAGATCAAATGAGGGATGTTACCAATGGAAATAAGTTTGATATCTTACAAAGTATACCAGGTATTGAAGAATTAGTAGACGATTCTCATCATAAAGGCAATAAATTTGGCCTTCTTACTACAGACAATGTGTTAGATTTTAACAACAGAAACAGTTTCAAAGGATCTATTAGAGTTACCGAAAACAACAAAGTCTTGCTGGAAAGAAAAAATACACCAGTTCCACAGACTTCTATCAGGAATAAAAAATTTCCAGTCAAGGCACCAAACCCCACATCAGCAACCTATACAATATTTCGAAGAGATAAAAAGCCAAAACAGTCTACACTGAAGAAAAAGATTATACATCATCTAGTTTATATTTTGCCGTTAACTAAATCAAAAAATCTTAATAGAGATGACCAAATATCCACCAGGAAACTTTCAATATCTACAAAAAGAAACAAAGACTTTCGTAGAAAAAAAGTTTATCTTTTTCCATCAAAATTGACTGTAACTTCAGAACATCACCACAAAGGAAAACAGAATTCAAATCGGAAGTTTTCAAATACAGACAAATCATATGTCATGAACAAACATGTTCCAGAAAGTGAAAAAACTAGCAGCACCTATAAGAATATCTTTCTTCCATCTCATTTTGAAAATTATCCATCCTCCATCGATTTTCAAGATGGAAGTTTTTTATCAAGTCATCATGCTAATTCTTTTAGCTATGGTCCAGAAATGAAACGCTTTATCACTGATTCTTATGATGGTCATTCATTATTTCCTTATGTGCAAGCCCGTCACTTGTTGAAGTCATTACACCACAGAAAGTTGGTAAGTGCACATTTTGCGTCATTATAAAATCTAATAAATTATACTTCATTCATGTGTGAGGAATGACAAAAAAATTATCTATTCATTGGACATGCAAATCATGCTTTTTACTATAAACAAATATTTTCATTTACGTAAGGCCAAATTCTTTATTGGCTAACGTAAACTTCACAGAGTTCTTTTGCTTTTGTGTAATTTATCTTTTATGAAAACAAAATAAAATGAATCATAGAATCATATTAACAGGTTTATGCCCACAATTGGCAAGCGATAATTATATCTAATTTATTTTTAATATTTTTTTTTCTTGTTTTACAGAACGCCTACTAGAATTCTGATTCGATTCCACGGAATAAAGCTGGTGGATTGTTTTATTGGACATTGCCTACCAAGTCCTCAGTCAAACAGAATTTTATCGACAGAAATCAATAGGGTTGGGCAATAGGCAAAGTCTGTATCACTTTTTCGAAATCAAATTATAAAATACAAAAAGTCCCCATGCAAAATGAAAAAATGCCACACTCCAGACTAACCATTTGGTGTATATTCAATGTTGTTAATTATAGGTTAGTTTTCCATGTCTTATTTATTATTGTATGGTTTTACTCCTTGTACATGTACATTATTAACTATTTATGATTTATCGTTTGCTGTCTTTTTTCATGCCGTTGTAAAGGTTCAAGATTAACCATGCATGTAAGTTGGGGAGTAACAAATGCAGGATTTTTTTTGTTTTTTTGTTAATGAGTTAGTTGATAAATATTAATTAGACATATTATGTGTAAGTTCATAGAAGTCGCTTTTTTATGTTTGTAGACGATACATAGTTTATCATGTTCATTAGAAGAGATATTGTATCCAATTTTGAATAATACTTAAATTGCATTGAAGTATTATTTATATTAATATGTTTTACTGTGCTTTTGTTTAATACTAGTAACTTAGTTAAAATATGCATTATTTACTGAAAGTTTTTTTTCCAATTTTCAATCATACTACAGATTTTACGCAATGCACTTTAAAATTCAGTAGAAAATGTTATCGATGTTAGAATTGCCATTATTTATTGGATATTATTATCTAGATTGATCTGCATAAAGATTGCATAAAGGGAACTGCTCGAGTTTGGTAATAAACGGAGCATGACATTTTATTCTGCATTCTCGTGTCAAGGGAATGGTCCAGTAATTAATATTTAATTTTCTTAATCATTTAATGATGTATTACTGTAGTTTTTATAAAATTGCTTACAATATACAGTTTAGTGGTTATTTATTGTAAAATAGAAAAATATAATATCAATATCTTGTGGGTTTATTTTTCTTTGTCAGTGTGTGTGTTGTTGGGGGGGGGGGTACTATTAGTTGAAATTTAATCATTAATATAGAACGTAGTCAGGGATTGGGGTATTTGAAATTTCAAAATCATGAAAGAGGAAGGTATCTTGCACCTCTGGTTAGACTGTATCTCTACTGGTTCCCTGGTTTCAATAATTCCCAGCCTCATTCATTGATATCACAAGATATTTCATTTTGTCAGTCTACTTGAAAATCCTGGAATTCGTTCAGTACAAGAAAAGACGATACTATAAAACTGAAATATAATCCGAATTTGGCTGAAATCAAACTCAATTATTTCATTACAAGCAGGAAAAATGTACAAAAGTTTTAAGTTTGGTGAGTTGGTGAGGAGGATTTCACAGAAAAAAATTCTCCTTGTTAGTCATAACTTGTCGGTGTCTCAAGTAGAAAAGTATGTAACATGCCTTGGAACATGTTTTATCAAAGATGCATCCTCACAATGCAAAGTTTTTATGATTTTGTGTTTTGGAGTTCCGAAATCACAAAACCCTGACATCGTGAGGATGTCAAGGATGAAGTATTGAATATGTTCACACTTTATGTGTAACCGAAACTTTCCCATGTCACTTGCCATAATAGAAAAAAAGGAATGATTTCGATTCTTGGAAGGACCGTACTCCATATAATTTGGAGATACATGTTTTATTTTTATATACCCATTATTATGTGTTATTATACCCTCGAAAAGCAGGAATGTATAGTGATGGGAGTGTCCGTCCGTCCATTCCACTTGGGGTTATCCTTTTCTTTAATATCCGCAATTTCTATTACACAACTGAATGCAATTTCATGAAACTTTAAAAAAAAATCTTTATTATATAGTGGCATTGTGCACCTCTTATTTTCGATCGGTCACATATTTGGGGTTTCCCACAGCAAAACGTGGTCAATGTCATTCTTTCTATAATATTGAGGGCACCCATCTTTTATCAACAACTCCTCCTAAAATATAACGAGACTTTCACAATATCTTTTTCAAATAGAGGCTTTTTGCACCTCCTATTTTAAATTTCGGATCTTTCCCATGACATAATATAGATACTGCCATTCATTCTATAATACTGAGGGCACCCATCTCTTATCCGTAACTTCTTATGTACCATGGATTAAAATTTAATGAGGCTATCACAGAATGTATTACATAACGCCATAGTGCACCTACTATCTTAGGTTTTGATCAGATAGATATTTGAGTATTCCCATGACAAAAAAAAAAAAAAAGCCACTGCCATACTTTTCAAAATGTTTGAGGTACCCATCTTTTATCTGCAATTCCTCTTGAACAACTGATTAAGATATAATAAGACTCTCACAAAGTTTTTATTACATAGAAACATTAATATTAAGTACCTCCTATTTTACTTGTAATTCATTAATTAGTAAATGACACTTGGATTGAGAAAGAAATATTAATTCCCGAATTATATAAGGAAATCCTTGAGTTCTTATTAAGAGAGATAACTCGAAAAAATGATAATATATCACTATGAAAGGTTGCTTAAAATATTTATTTTAATCATTCATTTTCATCAATTGTTTACCTCAATTTTGCCTCGCTAAGTTATATTTGCTTAAATCAATTTTTTAGTCCCTATTTTGTGTTTTAAGATCGTCTAATATGTAATTGTAGGGGAAAAAAATATAATTAAGTTCACAGAGGGTAATTGTCTCTTACCATCTGTTATATAATTATAAGATTGATAAGATGTTCAGATGTACTAATTTTGAAGACCTGAAGCGTGGATAATGTTCATATCTGAATCCCCCACCTTCCAATTTTCCGAAATAAAATAAATGATCGAGTCTAAGTTTATGATTTCCCCTTCAATTTCATCTTTATGTCATTCTGTGCAATCGGTTTGTGCGGTTTTTCATTTTTATAATTTGGCCATATTTGGTATTGTAACGTTTTCGGATTCGTTTATGGCATTCTATCTGAACAAATTATATAATCAAGTAAAATTTAAAGATTTCAATCACAGATTTGAATTAGCAATACTTACAATATTTCTGTCGTTTTTTTTAGTGTGCATGCGCCTTCCGAAGACTGACGCGCATTAGCTTCTGTCCTTCAGCCAAAAATGTGTATTAATATAGTATATAAAAATATTTAGACACGTAGTATCGTTTTTGAAAAGGGGGGGGGGGGCAGAAAAAAAAAAGACAACTTATCTGAAAAGAACTTCAGCAGGTAAGAAAAAGGATAAATTGTACCCATTTTTCACAATCAAATTGCATTAACACATCCTTTGATACTTACGTGCCTATATACTGTATGTTATATATATATATATATATATATATATATATATATATATATATATATATATATATATATATATATATATATATATATATATATATATATATTTATACTACCGATCGAAGTCCCGAAAGCCTAATGCAGACATGCAAGACTTTATTCTTGTATATCTCAAAGTACCTACCGTATATACATATATGTCTAAATTTTTCTACTTTGCATTTAGAAATTAAAACTTTTTACATGTATTTGCAGTTTAAAAGTAACCTTTAAAGTTTGTTAAAATAACATTCTCCCCGTTAAATTACTTACTTTGTATATCAAATTTTGAGGAAATACTTGCTAAAACTATTATAATAGTGTTGTTAATTTATTTCTTAAAAAAAAAGAGAATTTTTTTTTATTATTTGATATCTGTTTAAAAACTCCTGGTAATGTATGCTGATTTTTGATTTGGAACATCTGATGGCACAATGAATATAAATTAAGAATATCTTGGAAAAGGTACAATGTAAAGTAAATGTACATGTATGTTGCGAATGACTTAAGAAGTTATTGTGTCGATAATGAGTCACGTTCGTGGGTTAGTTTCTTGTTGTAAACCCTCCACACCTGTCTTCGGTTGAATTGTCGCTTCTTTGCGATTATCGTGTCAACACTCGATAGCGCAACCGAGCGAGTAGGGTCTGCATAAGAGCGTCCTGTGGTGAAACAACACTTAAGCTCTAATTAACTAATAGGACTATCAATGAACAGAGTTTTGCCAGCCAATTAGCAACAACATAACGGTATTGCTCATAAATTCAACAGAAGAAAACAGAAAACTGTTTGCTTTCCACTCCCTTTTAGAGAGGGTAATGTTTTTTATCTATATTTTACATATAAAGGAGATTTTTTTAAAATTAAAATTGTACAAAATTATATTCTTTAAAATAAAAACAACTCAAGAATTCAAATTTTACGCTTTTTTACAAGCATATTGTAAATATGTATTTACAGAATATAACAGTCATATAAACTGTCATTATTATCGCATTTATTTTGGTCATATATATATATATATATATATATATATATATATATATATATATATATATATATATATATATATATATATATATATATATATATATATATTCTGAATCTCGAAGAATGGAGACGGTAGGTAGAAATAAGAAAATTATAAAACCAAAGTTTTGAAGTTTATGTGGCATGTTTAACTAGATATAACGGAATTTATAATTCATCTACGTAAACATTAACTTGAAAAATCCCTTTATTTACATGTACCTACAAACTACATTGTCATAGCTTAAAGAACTACGCACGCTAACTCTCCATTCCCGCCTATATTTTACACCCATTTAATTCAATACTAATGGCAATTTGGCCGAAAAATCTTTGTTGAATGCAAAGAACAGTTCAATGGTAATTGACTGATAATTTTAATTTCAGTGTTAAGTAGTTAATTACTCCTAATTCCGGCTCTTTAAATAAAGCGGGTAGACGATACTTTTCATTGAAATCGGGATTTAAAGTATCACCACATTTTAAAATATTCTTGGATATGTATAAATGTTCCTTAAATATTTTCTTATGTTTTACTCATATAAATTAAACATATATTATTAATAAAATACAATGTTTTAGTTGTAAACCCCTTTGAAATTGGTGAAAAAATAAGTATTTTTGTAGTTTTTTTTCTGTAAACATATGTCCCCCCCCCCCCCCGTGGAACACAAAAAGCTTTGGTATGAATTTGTGAAATGACAGTCCATATTACCTGTAAAAAGGAATTTTTGTTTCACGGGGGTGGAGGGGGGGGGGGGAGAGATGTTTTAAAAATATTTTCCGTTTTCCATTGATTTCTATAGTGAAAAAACACAAATTTTACCAAAATTATAGAGTTATCTCTCTTAAGTTTGTTTTCCCAAAGAAGTAATGTTTTAAGAAAATTCATATAAATATCTATATAGATATGAATAACCATTCAAATGTGTTAACTTTTGAAAAATTGACTTGGAGGAAGGCGGGAGAACAATACAATTGTTCGCAGTTCTTACCTACGCACCGGTCGCCCTAGTTGCGCGGTGGTTAGAGCAGTGTAAGGAGTTGATCCTTACGTCGCGGGTTTGAATCCAAATGCGGGACCTTCGGATGAGACCGTCTCAAACCGAGGTCCCGTGTTGCAGTAGGTG